GGGGAAATCACAACCTGATACGTTCTGTTTATGCAAATAGCTCAAGGTGATGAGCTCAACAGACACAAAACACAATGTGCAGGAAGGTGACTCCAATGTACATTAGTCAGAGAGCCACTTACTGCGGAGTAAATCGTACGTTGAGTGTTAATTCTTTTCATACCGGCGAAGACTGATATCGGATCGACGCCGGTTGATTCATACAGGTATTTCTTGAACATTTCGGCATTTGCAAAGTACAGCGGGGAATCGAAGCGAAAGATCTTGATATTTGGGAACTCCTGCGTCTAAAGTCGCTGAGGTCGTAGGTGATGGATTGTAATGAAAACAACCCAATTTCATAAGGTACCTCTTCATAGGCGTTGATGCCGCGATAAAGTTCGGTTCCGGGTATGACTCCAAGACAAACGCGGTCTGGCCTTAATCGTTATTAAAAATTAACAATAAAATAAACACAAGTATTCGGCGTACCACTGAGACCTGACAACGACAGTCACCAGAGCGAAAACCACGCTGATCATCAATCCGTAGGTGACATCCAGAAAAGCGACAGCAAAAAAACTGACAATCCATATCCACTAATAATCCACAAATTTATAAGCTACAGAACAGAATGGGGAACATCGACTTACGAAGTCTGTTTTGGATATCTTCCACAGCTTTGGAAGGTGACTGAATTTGCTGAAAGTCTCTTTCAATGCAACGACAATAATTGCCGAGAGAACACACTATAAAACATGCTAAAAATAAATGCTAAGATTAAAGCAGTAGGCATTTGGGCTGTTCTCCGAAAAGCGGATGGGGAAGATGCAACATTAGACCAAGATAGAAATTCGTAATCTTCTCGAACTGCAGGGGCTTGCATGACAGGACCAAATGAAACATGTAAAGATGACAAGATGTTCAATATCCTCTCAAAGGCAGAAGCCTTAAAGTATAACCTGATCAAATCTTTGATTTGATAGACCCAAAACTATGGATGTCAAAGAAAAGAACGACAAGGGGAAAATGAAAATCCATTAAAGCGTCGAAAAAGTTGTATTAAGGCAGACTGTAATTAGTTGAAAGAAGAAGCTCAGATGTCTAAAGATGAAGACGGAAGATAAGATTCTACTGAATGAATCAAAGTCATTGCGTTAGCTGCATAGTCTAGTTATTCTTACTGAACACGAGATGGGACTGAATATCAAGCAATATACAACAGAGGTAGTACAAATAGTGATGAGACAAAAAATAGAATGAGATCAATCGCAGATTTTATCAGGAAGATGTCTCCTCTTTTTACGTATTAAGGAGGCATCTGTCGATAAAAAACAGAAAGGACTTTAGAGAGTCTAGTACCGTTACTCCTAAACTGTAGTTCTAACGCGACGATTCGCATGGACGCCAGTTCCAGAGTATGAAAGAAAAAAGAGTCCATTAATCGACCAAGGATCCCTACGAAAGCCAAGGTAGCACCAATCATGTATAATGAGAAATGATCGCACTGACTTTGAAATAGTAACATCCAATGCAGGAACAAAAGGAAGCTTGATAGATTTGTCTTAAGTCCAAATGGATCAAACAATTGATAAAGTCAAAGAGCGAGACTGTGGCTTGCAAGAATTCAGCATCCTTACTTATAGGATTTGCAAGATCAAGAACACTGAGTAAATCTAGGTGGCAGGCAGGACGAAACTTACGAAAGCTAAGAAAATGATAGCCAGTGACGAAGACATGAGACATCTGATGAAAACCACTTGTACAAAGACACATTCCCGCAATTTATTCTGCCCACTGCCATTTCAACTCCCTTGCTCTATCAGTGACGAAACTGAACCCTGTTGCGCATTACCTACCTTTTACCCTTCATATATAGACTCATTTGCCGACATGATGACAGTTACCTCGGCAAATGATGGCTAACAAGTAAAGTTGAAACCTACTTTTCTGCGATCTCTTGGTGTGTGCTAACATTTAAACATCATTTCATATCAAAATCTTCGTTATTTACATGCAATCTATAGGTCTGAGTAAAATACCTCACCGTAGGCAAACTTTTAAAAAGGGGAGCCAATGCCAACAGCGTTACCAAAACAATGATCGAGGCGATGATTCTAGAAAATACAGAATATTAAGGAACTCAGGTGATCATGCTGATGACGCGTTTACGAGCAGACTTGGGTCTTCCCTCCTTGTTGGTCATTTACTAGGGTTCTAGTAAGAGACGCTCCGCTGCAGATGCACAGAAAAAATGCTGACACAATATGCACAAAGCCATAAGCAAACCATTCCTGAATAAATATCTTTTAATGAATATATAAAAATAATAATAATGTGCAAATACAAAAGAACAGCAGACATTTATCGATATCGATTTTTCGACGTTTATGGTTTTATAGAGGAAGTGAAATAATGTTAAATTAAAGATAAAGAACTGCTCTTGAAACTATTGACGGTTCGCTGATTCATAGTTGAAGGTATAAAATAGCGCGGGTGTTAGGTTTTCATCATCCGGGCGCAACTGATATGGCAAGTAGCAAGTCGCCATCCACGTAAAAAAATATATCAATTTTTATAAGTGGCACATTAGCATCAGAAAATAACCAACATAATTTTTAACTTACAATTTCAGGGATTAATTAAACCATTCATTACACGTTCAAAGCTTTCGTATCAAGCTGGTGACAGCACCGCACATTTCACTCATCACAACAGATGATTAGTACTCACTGAACATACAAAGTTTCATGGCCAACATATGCCGGGACTACCTTAAAGGACCAATCCTTGCCCGTCACTTGTTGATTACAAGCATATTGGTCTCAATTAAATAGTGTTTGTCGGAAAGCGCGTTGACACTAGCAGAACAATCGGTCTGCTCGAGATGGAATGTGGATAAGTCCGGATATTAATCAATTCCTTAATCCAGATATTCAGCTTCCAAAAGGAATTTCCATACCTGACGCTGTATGGCACATTCAATCTTCATACAAGTTGCTTGGCGAATGATTCTTGCATAAAAGTATTCTCAGACTCATCCCAGTCTTGTAATAAGCCGTAAACGTAATGTCGCTGAAGTATCTTCTGACTCGCTCAGCTACCTTGCGTATGCATGGCTCAGAATCAGGATAGGTCTATTTTGAGACGACGTTTACTTTGATGGTATAAAGTACAACATTTCGATTAAATTATTATGAGTTTTGATATTAAAACGAAGATAACTAGAGTGAAACGGCGAAAATGTAGTTTTTGAAAGAAAATGTTTTTCTCACTTCACACCACCTGCTTTGTTTCATCGCTCCCTTGTCTCGAGTCGCCTATGGGGACCATTTAAGCATGCCACAGCTTCATGGTATTTCAGCACCTGCAGTGCAAAAATAGAAGAGCACGGCAAAAATGCAATGTAAAAAAATGTTTTTCTCAGGGTTACGTTTTCGATTTGTCTTCGCCTACGGACCGAGGCGTTTTGGTTCGAACATTCATCTGTTATCCCAAACAAGAGTCGCGATCTTGCGTCCTATGCACTACAGGCACCTAAATACCATGAAGCCGTGGTCTGATTAAGTGGTCCTCGTAGGCGACTAGAAACAAGGAGAAGATGAAATAAAGCAGTTGGTCTAAAGTGAAAAAAAAAACAATGTTTTTTTTCTTTAACCTCTGAATTTTCGCACCAGGAAAATATTAATTATCTTGTGTCAGCGCAAATTATGGCATAGTAGATTTACTAGGACCACGACAGCTTTGAATGCCTGCTATGATCCAAAATCTATGGTATTCTAAAAATTAACCATCCTTCATATAACGGTAAATGAGTGGATAGAGAATGACAATTCGACCCACAAAACGGAACAGATGAAATGGGAGCAACTTTAGCGTTCATTATCAAAAGGCGCACTAAATAAAAGGAAATGTTGTTTAGAAAAGTGATTCTGCACCCTTGCACTATTCCGTACTGATTAATGTATAAAGTCATAATTTTAGATTTATATAAACAAAACTGGAAGCGACGAAGATGAAATTCACCTGATTAGCTCTGATGCGATAAGAATGCTTCTGAGAAAACATCTTTGCAATGCTGAGCGATATTGAGTAGCTGACGACCGCAATCGCCAGGGCATCGGGAACCATGTTCGCCATTAGACGAAAGCTCGGCACCTGCGGAGCTAACATTCTATAACAAAGTAATCCAGTTTTAACAAATATAAAACTGAACCATTACCTTCGTGGAATTTTGCCAACAACGGAAAGTCCAAAGGTTTCTTTGAGATTCAAGGTGTTTGAAAGAACAGTCAAAATGACAATCTCAAATTGAATCTATGTCAAATTTGATGTGAACAGAGTGAAAGAGTATCACCAGTATTAAATCCATTGGCACGGGGAACTTGATCTTCCTCTTCGTGAATGGGCTGAGATAAAGCTTATTCAGAAGTAAGACTATTATGCATGCTGACGATATGACGACTGGCAAGAAATTGCTTTCCACGATTCGCATCATTAGGCAGCCATAGAACTACACAGAAACGTCAAAATGAAAAAAAATAGGAAAATGAATAATTCAGAGAAAGCGGAAAAGGAAAACAAAAGATATCATATTATGAATCAATACAGGTACGCCATTCGAGTAAACTACAAAGTTAACTGTAAAAAGCTATTATGACAAAGAAGTCGGTTAGATAAAAGGCAATAACAAGACCTGCAAACAGTTTTACAACAAAACAATTCGGAAAACATCCAACTACAAAACCAGGTTAAAGAATTCTGCTCTTTGTACGTGTACTGCTGCAGTTGTAGCAGGCGAGAAGCAATCTGATCTGTAGAAAAGGAGCGATGCTACATTAAGGGGTCTCGCGCTTGACACGATATACCACATGCTAGATTTCATTCTTCTCGAGTGATAGCCGGGTACGGTTTCTACTTGTATGGCATAAGTAGCCATGACAACACTGAATGCGACTTTAAGATGTGTCTAACATGCTGCAGTGCATACTACCAGAAGAATCTGGCGAGTCAGATGACGAGACCACGCGTTAAACAAACAGCGTAACATGTACACGCCAATAATCCATGGTAATCAAAAATAGAATAAAGATTTAGCCAGAGCCGTAGGGAGAAGAACCCAAGGTTCAGTTCTAAAGTATTATGTTGAATAAAATTATATACCTAAACAATGGTGCGTCTCTATCGTCATTTGACAAGTAACTGAGGGCTGTAGAAGGAACGAAATCTGATCGCATACGGTCTGCCGCACTATATATGATCTACACAGAGGAACAAGCAAATTGCAGTGTGCTGCAAAATATCAGTAAACGTTTTCGATAATGTTTAATGGTTGTAACCGTGGAACTAGAAGATTCGCCATTAAAAACGAAAGAAATATCAAATTAATATTCTTACCCTGAATAAGTTTTTTGGGATAAACAAATCATTTTGTAAAATTTAAACCAGTTAAAATCTTGTGAATCTACATTAGACAATGTAGGTCAAATTACCCGTATTATGTCCAGTGGCTGGCCAGTTTTCGGCAGATTGGGTATACCGAGCAAGCCTCCAATCTGGCTAGTCAAAACAAATAATCCAGCAGCAGTGGTCAGGCCTTCAACCAGCTGCTCTGACAGATAGACAGCAAGGAATCCCATGTTTAAAATTCCAAGCATGATCTAAATAACGTAAGAGATCTCGTCTTCAGTGCGTCTTGCACGACATAAAGAAGCAGGCTAACCTGAAAAACTCCGACCAGAAACGTCAAGGCAGGGGCAACTTCGATATTCAAGCCGTCAGAACGGCTACAGTTTGTCGCATCGTTGGAACCGCAGAACCACTGGTCAACTCTACCGTACGATTCGTTATATGAAATCAAAGGCGGGCAAGATGTCTGGCAAGAGCTGAAACGGTTCAACACAACGGAAACCATGAGGCTGATAATGGCGAAAGGTCCTAAGTTTGATGATCATCAGATTAAATGTGATAATTTGAAAGGAACACCGGTTACCGAAACTGATATGTTTCGAAGTGCCAAACAAGGAGTAAAGAAAAGGCGCAAAGAAGGCTGTGTAAAGTCCATAAATGGGCGGTAGTCCTGCTAAAATGCCGTATGCCATGCCTAAAAAATTACATTGTACGAAAACGCAAGCGTCAGATAATTGATGCGATAAATGTATCTAAGGGTCAGTGCACTGATATCGTTGAATAATAGAAAACTGCAATGGAAAAATTATAATTAACATATTTACGAACGGAAAATTCCAGTTCAGATGGACTAGGTTTCAACTAGAAATTCCAGCCATTATCGACCAAGTAATGAAACTTACCGATATTCGTATTTATAACTTGTACATGCGAGTTTCATTATAAACAAATTTTATTGACCGATAAAGATAGTAATCTCCGGCGGAAATTCGTCTCATCTAAACAAGAATAAGTCACGCGCAAATATTTAAAGTAAAAATTATCGTTAAATAATTTAATTAAATCTATCGTTAATTAAACACTCCATAACGTCAAGTTTCTTTGGATTGAACCGTAATGAGTTTCGATGATTTATTATAATGTCCAGGACAAAAACGATCGTAGAAAATCTTTGTTCAACACAGCTGAATTAAGACAGATCCTGACACTACTCACAACTTTTTGAGACCGCTATAGAACGACGAAACTAAACCGCGTGACTCAGAAGAGCAAAATATTAATGATGATGTCATATAAAGATTTACTACAGGAACAAAGTAAACAAAGTTAGCGTGAACATGACAGAACCTAGAACAGAGAATTAAGGCGCGAACAGGAAGAATTCACTCATTAGCTAATCTAAAGGAAAACTGAATGATCAACCCTACCGAACATGCCATTGCTGCAACATGTGCGAAGAGAAATACTGCTGGAGAGACAAAATATATGGCGCGTTCTTTCAAAAGTTATCTACAGATCAAGCCTCACTGAACACGTACTACATAGTGGAACGTATCAAATTGGATTGGCGCTGCAGACTGCACTACGATTGCTAGCATAACCTCTGTAACTTGTTGGGAACTTTACCGCGGTATTTAATGTACTGCAGAACAGTGAAAAGATATAAGCACTTCAGCGAGTGAAGAGTCATTGAGAAGTCTCAAATTCTGATATTTCCAGTCTACTACCAGTCTGGGACAACGACCACAGGGGAAAGACTTATGGCTGCTGCTGATTGGTCGTCAGGAACCGGGAACGGTGCCTATAGGAAAGGATTCATTCGACTGGTCTCAGAAAAGAAAGTTTTCGATTAGCAAAATGTAATTTCAATGACGCTTCCATGTGAGGAGATGACCAAATACATCGTGAATATTAAAACAATAAACCCTATAGCCATCGGCCCAAATATTAAGACCACTCTCAAGAACCTCTAAATAATGAGTCAATAATTTAAAGAAAAAATCTGACGACAGTTCGCTTCTACTATTTAAGCTAGTCAATCAAAAATAAAGATATCTTGGTTACAAATCTAGAAGGTAAGAAAAACCGCCATCCACCCATTTAATACAGGAAGAGCTTTCACCTTAGCGGCCCTATTCACCTACCAAGAATAAGAGGTAATCTATATTTTAAACGCTGCAAAACCAATTTTGCTAACGATCTGGCTTCAATAAAGTCCTACATTACGTGACTGTTCTATGAAAGGACAATATCTTGAGCTAATATTGCACGGAGTCTAATTTCGTGCGGTCATTTCAGCATAAGTACAGATTTTTATAGACCTTAAGGTACTAAACAATGGCCACTGAATTCTTCTGAAGTGCAACGGCGCAGATAATCTGCTCGTCATGTCATCATTTTACTGCTACTGTATCTACCGTACTTTTTATTTGATTAATGAAATCTACTGCTGTATCTTTATTTTTCATCTTATCGTTTTTAGTATTTCTCATGTACTTTCCATCTAGTTTGTCACTATGATCCGTTTTGCCCATTTCGTTGCAAAATCATTTGTATTCATTCGCATGATGCCACGTTACACGTGCCTCTACCCATTTTCATGAGATGATTATTCTTCTTGGGTACTGCCTACTCACTTTTCACAATATATTCCGAAAATATACATTAATGATTTTATTTGTACAGCAAAACGAACTAACAACTAAGGACAATAAGTGCTAAAAACAAAATGTCAAATCCTGTAATCTGCCTTGATACTTTTGTTGGCCGAAGACCATCGGCCAGAGAAAACCATCACATAACCACTTAGAGAACGGAACTTGGTTTGATTTAACAAAACTGCCCAAAAAAGAAAAGAACTGCTTTCGCTTGGGAACCGTGAACTGGGTCATTGGATAAGAATACGAAGAGTTGCAACGCGTCGCTGAGACAAACCTGTTGGTGACAAAAAATATTACCTGTGTTGCTGAAGTGAACGTTTTCAAATATCAATCTGAAGGACCACTTCTAATGGTCAGATAAAATAACCCTAAACCATCTGCAAGTATTTCATGACGATAACAAAACTACAACTCCTACTCATGAATTTCTGAGAGCAAGTGGAGTAAAAAAACGTCTCTGTTGAAAGACAGAGTGTTTAAATGATTTTTTAAAGGAGCATAAATTCAAAACTTCAGTAATGCGATGTGTACCATATAAATCTGCTTAATAAACAGACACTGAAAATAAAACGAAAAAACCAATATATGCAGCAAAAACAAAAAGCATTAAAATTAATTTACCTTGCGGTATTGACATTATGCCAACCGTAATACCGGCGACCAGGTCGCCTAACATATTATTTTTGACGTCGTAGTTTGGCAGCCATGTCCAAAACGGAAAACAGCCCGACAGAACGGTCACAATAAACTGAACTTTGTGATTCAGTATAGCGTTCAGGCGCGTCCGCCATCTGCCACATAGACTGAGATCAACGAACTTGCTTCGAAACTTGATGTCGAATTCTTCCTAAACTCGGTTATGAATCATTCAAGGCCATAACGGTGTTAAGGACCCAAAAATAGACAAGTGTAACAGCGTATATTTTATGGGTTATCTGACATGCACGACCGAGTGCACACATGTGATGACTTTATGATAAGTGAAAGTGAACCGAAAATAAACCAACAGCTACGAAAAAGGGAGGGGGCAGAGGAGCAGTACGCTAGTAGGTCACTTTGCACTTTAGAGTGCTGGGTTCAAACCCAATAAGTGGGGA